ATTAAGTCCATTCGTTTAAGTATTAAGTTGAGGTTCTGGATCTCTTTGCCTCAATGATCTATCTAGGGTTGTTCGTGGAGAGGTATTTAAGTCCCTAGCTATCTTTTGAGTCAGTATCTTTTTTTTAGTTTACTTAGTAGTTGCTGTGTAACTGCTGGTGCTCCTGTGTTGGGTGCATATATGTGTAGGATGGATATTTTTTGTTGATGGATTGAACCTTTAATCATTATGTAGTGGCCTTCTATGTCTTTTTAAATTTTTGATAACTTAAAGATTGTTTTGACTGATACTAAGATCATAACTCCTGCCTTCTTTTGTGATCCATTCTCCTGGAAACTCATTTTCCATCCTCTGAGTCTATGTGTGACCCTTGTGGTGAGATGAGTGTCCTGGATGCAGCAAATTATTGGGTCATGGTTTTTTTATCCAGTTTGCCATTCTGTATCTTTTTAGAGGTGCATTTAGTCCATTCACATTGAGGCTGATTATTGAAATGTGATTATTTATCACCGTCATGAGGTTCTTATAAAGTTTTTTACTTGTTTTCTCTTAGCTTTGGGGTTGATGTCTGTGTGTGTTTTCAAGTTTGCAGTCATGATGTATTCTCTGTTGATTCTGTCTTCTGTTCTCTTGGGAAGTGTGTTGTCATTCTTTTTTTTTTTCATTCTTCTGTACTTTATATCTTTTTAAGAGTCTCCTATAGAGCTGGTCTAGAAGCTGCATAATCTCTTAGGAGTTGGATGTCTGGGAAGGATTTTAATTCTCCTTCGCTGGTAAAGCTGAGCTTGGCTGGGTAGGAAATTCTTGGTTGGAATTGTTTTTCTTTGAGGACTTTGAATATTGGACTCCTGTCCCTTCTTGCTTCTAGTATTTCTGCCGATAATTCTGCTGCACTTCTGGTTGGTTTTCCCTGGTAGGTAGACTGACCTTTCTCTCTTGCTGTCTTTAGAATTTTTTTCTTTTGTGCCCACTTTGTATAGGTGAATTACTATGTGTCATGGGGTTGGTCTTCTCATTTCATGTATTGCGGGTTTGTGTTTGTCTGTATCTCTTGTGTTTGGATGGTCACATCTCTGGTGAGATGGGGAAAGTTTTCTTGGATAACTTCCTGAAATACTTACTCCAAGGTGTTCTCTGTTTCCCTTTCTTCTTCTGGGATACCAATCAGCTGTAGGTTCAGCCTCTTGATATAGTTGCACATCTCTTGGAGGCCTTGTTCTTTCTGAGGTTTTTTTTTTCTTTTTTTACAGTTCGAGTTAATTCCATATTTTGGTGTTCCAGTTCTGAGATTCTTTCTTCTGTGTGATTAATTCTGCTTTCCATGCTTGTCATCTTGTTACTTATTTCCTATATGAAATTTTAATGACCAAAATCTCTGTTACAAATTTTTTGTGTTGCATCTTTGTCTTTTTTGAGTCTTATTCACTCTTTCCATCCATTCCCTAATTCCTATTGTATTCTGCACCACCACCCCCCCACCCCTGTTGGTGGCTTCCATTGTTTTGTCTCTGAGGTCTGATTTTTCTTGCATTTTCTCTTTGTAATACTGGAAATCACCTGTGTTCTTCCGTTGATTTTCCCCCCCCCTCATTTGTGACAGATCTCTTTCTTTTCTCTTTAGTTCCATTGTCCAGTGGCAGTGGAAGGGTCTTTCACTTCTGCTGTTTGCTCAGACCTCTGTTCTTCCCTACCAGGGCTCTGAATTTGTTCTATTTTGAAACAAGGCTGTGGTTGGGAAGCTTTGTGGTCTCATGTAGTTTTGAGAGTCAAATAAGGTGGCGGATGGGCAGTTAGGATTCCGAAATACTTGCAAATCACAGTGTTCACTGATTGTGGTATGAGTTCCCTGAGACCTACTCCCCCCCATCACCACTGTATGATGACGCAATGGGTATGTGTGTGTACCCCGAGTCCAAGGTACAGTAACAGCAATGAGAACAGAGAATAGTAGAATAAAATAAGATGAACAAAACTTTTCAAAAAATTTTTAAAAACACAGAACAACAAGAGCAAAAACAAGAGCAAAAAACAATTACACACACACCTCAAAACAAACTGGAATAACTGAAAAGCAAAACAAAACAAAAGAAACAACAAAAAGCAGGAAAACCAAGCACACATGCCCAACCCAAAATGAAAGAAGTAAAAGAGAAAAAAAAAGGAATTCAAATTGAACTCTCACACATGTATTCATACTCACATTAAACTAAAAAAAGAGAAGAACAAAAAAGCAAAAACAAACAGAAAAAACTAAAAGATGAACACTCAATCCTTCACATACACACATAAATAGAAAACAAAATGAAAGAAGAAAGGAAAGAAAAAACAGAAGAGAGGAAAAAGTGGTGGGGGGGATTCAGATTGAACCCTTACATATACATTCATGCATAAAGGAAAAATATAAAAAACTAGAAAACCTGCCCTCCCAAAGCAGGTTCTGTCATTGTTCCACTCAACTTCCTCTCTGCTGTCTCCTGCAGAGCTTCGGCCTTGCTCACAATCTCCCCGATGTCCAACCCAGGGAAGGAGGAGGGGACAGTGAGGGTGAGTGGGGCTTCAGTCCTCTCCTCTCGCTCTCATATGGTCAGGAATATCTCCTCAAGTGGGGAGATGTGGGATTGTCTCTTTCCCAGGTACTGATGGGGGTACCCCAGACAGGCTTATCCTAGAATAGAGTCCTGTTGTGGCTGTCATGCAGGCTCCGCCTGGGTTTGTCCCTCTTAGTCGTACCTGAGCTGTGTGGGTCTGTTGTTCAGGCGATTGCTGTGGAGGAGGGTAGCGTGTTGGGTCAGCCCCAGACTCACCACTCATCTCTTTGGAAGTCTTTTTCGTCCTTTTCTGGCCACATCCTTTGTCCAGTTGTTGAATCAGGGTAGTGGGTAGGGTACCTGAGTCTCAGCATTTGTCCTGGCCCTCTGAGTTTGTGCTTTCAGGATATTCCCTCTGGGTCACGATCAACCCCTGAGTAGTTAATCTGCGGGTCACAGAGATCGGGTCAGGTCTGTCACTCCATGGTGACCATATTGGAGCACTTTCCTGCCCAGTTTTCAAGATAGTGGCAGGACACTTACTTCATCTTCTCCGGTGGGGCTCTGCCTTTCGGCTCCTTCGCTATGCTCCCTCCGCAGTCCTTGCTGCCAATCAAGAGTGACATGTTAAAGTAAGCAGGCAATTAAGATATACCCTCTTAGCCGGGCTCAGTGGCTCAGCCTGTAATCCCGTGCCTTTGGGAGGGGCTGAGGTGAGTGAATTGCCTGAGCCTGCGGGTTCGAGACCCGCCTGGGCAGTGAGACCTCATCTCTACAATAAATCAAAACATCAGCCGGGCGTGGTAGTGCATGCCTGTAATTCCGGCTACTTGGAAGGCTGAGGAAGAAGGATTGCCCGAGCCCAGCAGTTCGAGGCTGCGGTGGCTGGGTGCGGCCACTGCACTCCAGTCTGGGCGACAGAGTGAGACTCCAACTCAAACAAACAAACAAAAAAAGATATACATACCCTCTAAATTAGGATTTGATAGATCTGTGATCTCAGAGTACTGGAAATATAGTTCATTTTATGCATTCAGGACTCTGTCCTGTTCTTTGCAGTTGAATATGAATGAACCTGTATAGAATCCTGTGACTTTTTAAAGGGCTGAACTGAGCATAACCAGCTTAAATATAATTGATCGTATCCTCTGAGCATAGGTTATCACCTAAATTTATTCAGATGGATAAGCAGTTTGAACGTTTTTTGAAACTTAAACTTTGTTTCTTATTTTGCCACACTGATTTTTTTAATTCCGGGAACTAAATTGACCCAACAATTGTTTTCTGTTGTTATATCCTGAGGATCAATGGCAACTGGAAAAAAGTCATGGCATCATGCAGATTGTTGTCCCTGTGAGTTTATGAGAAGAGCAGTATTAATACTGCCTAACTGAAGTTGATCAGTACCCTCTTTCTTTTCAGTTGGCATCTATTCCAAAATATCTCTCATTTGAACAAGCCCAATGTTTTCCATGGACTTAATACCACCTATATAAAGTGTGACTCTGAAATATTTCTTCTCTGAGCTGCATATGTTTCTTCCTAGCTGTTTATTATACCTGGTTGTCAACAACTTTCGTTTGAACCACATGTCCAAAATGAAACTTTTATTTCTAACTTCCTTCTCTCACAATAAGAACAATAGCTAGTCTAATTGAATGATATTTTGTGCTATCACTCCAAGTGCTAAGCATTTTACATGTGTTTATTTTATGCTGACTGTACCTTGAGGTAGATAGCTTTGTTCTTCCTAGTCTACTAAAAGAGATAATGAACCATGGAAAAATTAATTTGTTCACATAGCTCTTAAGTGACAGTACTGGAAATGAAATACAAGTTGTTTTACTCTTCTCCTCTCTATCCTGGTTACGGCACCATCATCCACCCAGATAATGAGGTGGGAAATTTTAGTTGTTCAGATTCTTTTTTCTTTATAACCCTCAGCTATCCTACAATCATCTGGTCAGATATCTTAGATGTATCCTGAGTTTTTTCCTTTATACGGCCAATGCTCTAGGAAAGCTCATTATCTTAAAACTAACCTCTACAGCTGCCAAAGTTATTTTTCCAAAGTACAATTTTCATTCTTAAAACCTCTTAGTATCTATCAGTTATTTTCAGGGTAAACATTAAAATGCATGGTATATTTAGAATGTCATATCAACTGTTCCATAGGATCCTATACAGTTTAGATCTCTGTTTGCCTGTTGGGCTTATCACTTTACAGTGTCCTTTTGTTTCATTTCTGGCTGTACCAGCAATTCTCCAGATGAGCTATACTTTCTGCAATTCTCTCTTGAAGAGTTGCACTTTATAATGTAGTTCACTCAAAGGTTATCTTCTCTGTGAACTCTTTCCTGATCCCTGTAGGTTGTAATATCTGCTTTTCTCTTTTGTGCCCTAGATGTACTACTTAACGTTTTGCTTCTGTTTTAGTAATGATCACACTGAAAGCTATTTATTTGTTTACAGGGTTGTCTCCTCACCAGACTATGAGCTCCTTGAAAGAGAGAATCGTGTCTTACTCATCTTTGTACCCCCAGTGTCTAGCACAGTTCCTGGTACATAGTAAGTGTTTAACAATTTTGTTTAACTAAGACTGTATATTACAATCAAACTCTGTACATGTTGATAGTTATTATATTGTTGTAGACCTAGTAACACGTTGTCATAAGAAATAATGGCCGTAGACTTCTGACACTTTTGAGGCTTAATTTTTCTTTTTTTTGTGTGTGTTAAACATTTTTTTAAATTTTCTTTTATTTTTAATTTTTAATTTTGTTTTCATAATCAATATTTTTTATTATGGTTTTGTGGGGTACAGTTAAGGGTTAGGTATACAATTACGTTTCATTCAGGCACCCTGTTGATACGAGGTGTTTCCCCATCCTCAGACAGATATTTGCTACTGTTAATCCCATCTCCCCCCCATAGTTTCCCAGTACTGTCAGTCATTTTCTTATAATATTACATTGGATGTTCAAGGTCCATTATGTGAGTGAGAACATGTGATACTTGGATCTTTGTTTCTGAGAGGTCACTCAGTATTATAGACTCTAAGATGGACATAGTACCTCCCTACTCACACAGTGTTATTATAATGTTTAGGTTATCTGTGACAGTATTTTCTATTTCAAGTGCCAAACAATTTTATGTTATTAAGTAAAGTCTTGGGGATAATGGTATGTTAAAATCAGCAATTTTATTTGCTCTGTATCTTCCCTTTTAAGATGATATCATTTTAGAACCATCTCTATCGTGTTTTATGTTTAAAATTTGAAGTTTCAGGTTCTCAGAACATGTGCTCTTTAGTCTGAGGATTGATCGATATAGAAGAGTTTATATGAAACAAAGGGAAAATAGGTTGGAAGTGGGGATCGGGGGGTAGAGAGGGAGTTTTATTTAGTCTTTTTTTCTGGTTGACACTGTTTCCTAGTCTCCATAGTGTTTTAAACTTTAAAAATTCTTCTCAAGTAATTAATCTTATGCTACTGCCTTTATTCTTAGTAATTATCATTCTGTCTAACTCACTAATAAGACCCCTGGATTTTTCTTTTTTAATCTGCCTCCAAGTGAATCAATTTTCTCACCTATCCTTAGGCTCCTCATTTACTGCCCAGAGAAAGAAGTGTCTTTTTCTTGGAAGACTAAATACCATGTGTGAAAGCTCTTTCATCACAGGCTACAGAAATCAACCATGATGCCATAGTGATTTGTACTTTACTGTATCTGTTTCCTTACCTTGCATGCATTCTTTAAATTATTATTGTTTTTATTTTTTTGAGTTTGAGTCTCACTCTGTTGCGCAGACTGGAGTACAGTGGCCGCTCCCGGCCACCGCAGCCTCGACTTGCTGGGCTCCGGTGATCCTTCCGCCTCAGCCTTCCAAGTAGCTGGAATTACAGGCGCACACTACCACATCCGGCTAAATTTTTTTTTTTAAAAGGCAGTCTGAAGACCAGGCATGGTGGCTCATGCCTATAATCTCAGCACTTTAAGAGGCCAAGTTAGGAGAATCATTTGAGCCCCAGGAGTTAGAGACCAGCCTAGGCAACATAGCGAAACCCCATTTCTAGAAAAAGCAACCAAAAAAATTAGCCCGGTTTAGCGGTGCTTGCTTGCCTATAGTCCCAGCTACTCCGGAGACTGCAGTGAGAGGATTGCTTGAGCCAAAGAATTCAAGATTACAGTGAGCTGTGATCATGCCATTGCATTTCAGCCAAGGAGTCAGAACAAGATCCTGTCTTAAAAAAAAAAAAAAAAAAAGAAGTGTCTCAGTAAGCAAATTCAAGTTTATAGCCAAAAAATAATTATGGAGACTTATGTTTGGACTGAGAAGCTATTGCTATAATATAGACAGATAAAACTGTATATCTAGAGTTTAGAAATGTGGACAGCCCTAGAAGATAGTGGAAGCATTTCTGTGCACTAATTTCTTTATTATGTGCATAAGTGCTTCCATTAGATTCATAGAGTACTCTTTGGAATAGTGACAACTTGTTATTTGGTAGCCCTCTGAACCTTAGCACTTCTTTAGTGAGCTTCATTTAATTGTTCTTTTGTACCAACTTTTGAGGCTCAGAATCCACAGTACCCACATTTCTGTGTTTTTTTTCAATCATGAAATCATGGCATTTTCCAAGAAAATATGTAGCAAAAGATGAGGTAATAACAACTACCAGAAGAATTCATTTATTTCTTCTTTGAAGTAGAAGTTAAAATAATTTCTTGAAGTCCTCAGTGTAGAGTGTTAAATCTTGGACTGAGTCAGAGGGAGATGTTAGTACTACAAACTCTGTCTTTTTCTTTTCTACTCACAGTTGTGTTTCTAAGATGTATTCATGTTGCTTACAGCTACAGTTCATTCATTCTCACAGCTGTATAATGCTCTACTATATTAATTAGCCTACTTCATATAACCTTTTTCTACCATTAGGAATTTGAGTATTTTTCAGTTTTTTGTGATTATGAAGATTGTGTATACTTAGTATACAAGTACAAAATTTTTTTGTATTATATAACATTTAGAATTGCTAATTGGAGGGCATGCAAATATTCAACTTCACATGGTAATGTCAAATTATTTTCCAGCAGGATCTTGCCATTTGAAACACCTACCAGCAGTATGTTAGAGCTGCCACTGTTGAGTGAGTTTTTTTTTAACCATTATTTGGCACTGTCAAGATTCCTAGTTTTTACCATTCTAAGGAATCTAAAAATAACATGTCAGTGAGTTCCGCATCTTTTCATATATTTGTTGGCCCTACAAGTTTCCTTGTCTATAAGATTCCACATTTCTGGATTTCTTTTCAGTCTTTTTTTGCCCATATGCCCATTGTGTTGTCTATTTCTTATTATTTGTAGACATACAGTAGTTCGAATACTAATTTTTAAAGGTTTTTTGTTCTGCAGATATTCTCAGTTTGTGGCTTGTCTTTTAGATTTCTTTATGATATCTTATGATAAACAGAAGTTCTCTGTTTCCATATAGTCAAAATATTCACACTTTTTTATTTGATTAGTATGCTTTGTCTCTTGTGTAAGAAATTCTTCCATCCTGGGAGGGCACAAAGCAATATTTTTCTGCTGTAATGTCTTGTAAAACTTTTAATATTTCCATTTCATGTTGACATTATTAGTCTTGAATTGGTTTTGCATATGACATGAGTTGGGGTTGAGTTTCATTTTTTTCCGTAGATAATTTCAGGACCATTTAATTGCACCAGTTCTCATGGATCTGCATTGTTGCATCTGTTACATGAGTATGCCTTGACATGCATTGGTCTGTTTGAGGATTTCTATTTTGTTTCATTTTTTTCTTTTCATTAGTTTTGTTAGACATTTATTTATCTTAGTGTTTTCTAAGAACTAGCTTCTAACTTTGTTGATTCTGTATTTTCTACTTCATTAGTTACTGCTCTTTATTATCTCCTTTTTTTGAGTTTACCATTATTCTCTTTGAAACTTACCTGATTGGCCTATTAATGCATCAATTTGCCTAATATGTCTTTAAAGCTATACATTTGCCTCTAAGTATAACCTTTCCCACATATTTTTATGGGTGGTATTTTTGTTGTCATTCAGTTCTTAGATTTTTAAAAAATTTCCAATATTGTTTTTTTCTGACCCATGAATTTATAAATTTTTAAATTCTATTTGTTGTTTTGAAGTTTTTTTTTTTTTAGCCACTTCTCTTCAACATAGTACTGGAAATCCTAGCCAGAGCACATAGGCAAGAAAAATAAATAAAGGATATCCAAATTTGAAAAGAAGATATCAAACTATCTCTGTATGCCAGTGATATGATCTTAAACCTGGAGATTCTTAAAGACACTTCCAAAAGACTCCTAGATTTGATAAGTGAATTTAGTAAAGTTTCAGGATACAAAATCAGCACACAAATCAGTAGCACTGCTATACACCAGTAGCAACCAAGCTAAGAATCAAATCAAGAACTCAATTCCAATTATAATAGCAACTAAAAAGTTAAAGGTATCTCTAGGAATTTATTTAGCCAAGGAGGATGAAAGATCTCTACAAGGGCAACTACAAACACTGATATATTTGTAGAGGATACAAACAAATGGAGAAACATCCATATTTATGGGTTGGAAGAATCAATATTATGAAAATGACTGTATTACCCAGAGTATTCTACAGATTTAACTCCCTATCAAGCATCCAATGCCATTTTTAACAGAATTAGAAAAAACAATCCTAAAATTTATATGGAGCAACAAAAAAAAAAACCAAAACAAAACCCAGAATGGCCAAAGCAATCCTAAGCAAAAAGAACAGCTGGAGGCATCATAGTACCTGACTTCAAATAATGCTACAAGACTGTAGTAACCCAAACAGCATGGTACTGGTACAAGAGAAGACACATGGACCAATAGAACAGAATAGAGAATCGAGAAATAAAACCAAATGCCTCCAATCAACCAATCTTCAACAGAGCAAACAAAAACGTACACTAGGGAAAGGACACCCTATTTAACAAATGTTGCTGTGCAAATTGGGATAGCAACATGCAGAAAAATAAAACATGTTCCTTATCTCTCACCATATACAAAAGTTAGCTCAAGATGGATAAAAGACATAAATATCAGACCTGAAACCATAAATATCATAGAAAACCCAGGAAAACTCTTCTGGACATTGGCCTAGGCAAAAATTTTTATGGATAAGGCCCTAAAAGCAAATGCAACAACAACAAAAAAATAAGTGAGACCTAATTAATTTAAAAAGCTTCTGCACAGCAGAAGAAATAATCAACAAATAGGCAACCTATGGAATGGGAGAAGATATTCTTAAAACATACATCTGACAAAGGACTAATATCTAGAATCTACAAATAACCAAAATCAGCAAGAAAAAATCCAATGACCCCATTAAAAAGTGCAAATGATGTGAACAGACATCTCTTAAAAGAAGATATATAACTAGCCAATAAACATATGAAAAAATGCTCAACATAAAGAAATGCAAATTAAAACCTCAATGAGATACCACTTTATACCAGTCAGAATGGCTATCATTAAAAAAGATGCTGTGGTGGATATGGTGAA